CAGGGTGGCGTAACCAGAGAGAGAAGGCCACGGCAGTCTCTGACCTCAGCACCCAGCGCTGGCATCGGACGCCCAGTAATTCTTTGTTGTGGGGCGTCCTGCCCTGTGCATTGTAGGGTGTTGAGCAGCATCCCTGGTCTCTACCCACTGGACGCCAGTAACAATTCCCAATTGTAACAATAAAAAATGTCTCCACGCCGGCTGGCGCGGCTCAGTGGTTGAGCACTGACCTGTGAACCAGGAGGTCACGGTTCCATTCCCCATCAGGGCACGTACCTCAGTTGCAGGTTCGATCCCAGGCCCCGTAGGGGTGTGTGAGAAGCAACCAATTGCCGTGTCTATCACACATGGATGTATCTCTCTTTGTATCTCCCCCCGACACCTTTCCACTTTCTCTAAAAAAAAATCAATGGAAAAAATATCCTTGGGTGAGGATTAATAACAAAGAAAATGGTAAGTACATGAGTATGTTAATTAGCTTGATTGTGGTGATTGTATCAATATATGCGTATATCGAACTATCAAATTGTACACCTTAAATATACACAGTTTGTATTTGTCAATCACTCCTCAGTAGAGCTGGACACAGCTTCTGAGGTGAGGAAAGCGAGGAGGGCTGCACTGTAGAGCAGCGACGGCCATCAACAGGGCGGGAGTGTAAGGGGGTGGGGAAGGATGCAGATCGTGGTGCCCAGGGAGCTGCGTGCATGTGTTCTCCCACTAGCAGCCGGCAATCAGGGAGAGGCAGGCATTATTCATAATTTCAAGGACCAGCTCCAGTCAAATAATTCATCACATTAATTCAATGCCAAAATGACAACCAGACATCCAGGCCGGAAGGGCAGTTTACATGAACAAAGATGCCCAAACCCTGAGTGTGGCCCTCACTGACCACCTTGGGGTAGTTCAGTAACTGGTCAGCCGGCTGGGCAGAGGGAAAGGGGAAAATACCCAAATGAGTGTGACTCTTCTCCCTTCAGGACACTCTCCCTTAGTTCACACTCGTTGAATGACGTAAACTGATTTACACCTTCTTTCTCTTCAAGCTGACAGTCTACGCCAAGCTCTTCCCTGACCAAACAGAGTGAGAAATGAATGCAGCGCTAGCCAGTTTGGCTCAGTGGATAGAGCGTCCGCCTGTGGACTGAAAGGTCCCGGGTTCGATTCCCGTCTAGGGCATGTACTTCGGTTGCAGGTTCCCAGGCCCTGGTCGGGGCTCGTGCAGGAGGCAACCAATCAATGCGTCTCTCTCACATCGATGTTTCTCCCGTCTCTCCCTCTCCCTTCCACTCTCTCTAAAATCAATGGGGAAATGTCCTCGGCTGAGGATTAAGAAAAAGAATGCAGATGCCACCTAGGAAAGCATTTTCACAGGGACTCTAAAAACTGTAGCTGCAGGAGATACTGTTTGCAAAGGTCACTGGACAACATTCGCTCGTAGCATCCAGACTGAACCATAAATCACTCTTCAGGGAAGTGTGATTTGGGTTACCATGGTCTACAACTTACATGAAAAAAACCAACTTCTTCGCAGTTATCACAGAACCAGCAAACAAAAGAAAACGAAAATGAAACACAGGTGAATTAAAACAGAGCCCTCACTCGCGTTGGTCGAAGTGTGAAATTACAGCCGCCAGGACAAAGGAGACATGGTGTTCCCGTGCCGCGCTCCGTCAGCGGCCAACACGCGTGTAATGCAACCACAGAGCCAGGACATCTGGTTTTCAGTAACTTTCTAAAGCAGCATCATCTACTTCCCACCGCTCAGCAACGCCATTAGGAAAGGTTTGGATGCGCTAACTAAATTCTTGCCAGCTGTCTATCCTGTTTATGGAAAATTTTGTTTCAAAATGCTCAACCACATTGTGAGAACACAGGATTATGAAAAAGATGCTCTAAACTAGGAAATGTCATGAACATCGATTTTCTTTTTAAAAAAATATATTTTATTGATTTTTTACAGAGAGGAAGGGAAAGGGATAGAGAGTTGGAAACATCCATGAGAGAGAAACATCGATCAGCTGCCTCCTGCACACCCATTACTGGGTGTGCCCACAGCCAAGGTACATGCCCTTGACCGGAATCGAAGCTGGGACTCTTCAGTCCATAGGCCGACGCTCTAGCCACTGAGCCAAACTGGTCAGGGCTGAACATCGATTTTCAACTGTTTTTCATTTCATGGCACACATAGACTAATTACTAAAATTCTGCAGCACACCAAAAAACATCTTTGCCGATCTGAGAAGAAAAGTAGGTATAATTCTGATTTATTCACACCGGATGGCTAGTGTTGTGTTGGCTGTTGTCATTATTTTATTTGACAATCTAAGGGAGAAGAGGTCAGTGCCCGACTAAATAGTCAGGTACTGCATGTTTTAAAAAATTGTCGTGGCACACCAGTTGAAAATTGCTGATCTAACCCAACATACTTTCATTTAAAGTTAGTCCTACCCTGGCTGGGTGGCTCAGTTGATGGCACATCATCCCAGGCACCGAAAGGTTGCCGGTTTGATTCCCAGTCGGGGCAGTTGCCGGTTTGATTCCCAGTCGGGGCACAGGCCAGGTTGCAGGTCCCCGTTCCCTGGCTCAGGGTGCAAACAGGAGGCAAATGACAGATGTTTCTCCCTCACATGGATTTCTCTCTCTCCCTCTCCCTTCCTCTCTCTAAAATCAATTAAAACATATTTAAAATAATAATAAAAAACTGATCCTCTGAAAAGAGAAGTGGACTTACAATTCTAGTCCTTGCTTTGCCATCTAACAACTTAAATGAGTCACTTATAAGATGCAAACATCAGCCCTGACCGGTTTGGCTCAGTGTATTGAGCGTCGGCCTGCAGACTAAAGGGTCCCAGGTTTGATTCTGGTCAAGGGCATGTACCATGGTTGCGGGCACATCCCCAGTGCGGGGTGTGCAGGAGGCAGCTGATCGATGTTTCTAATTCTCTATCCCTCTCCCTTCCTCTCTGTAAAAAATCAATAAAATGTATCTTTTTAAAAAAGATGCAAACATCAAAATAAGATTTGTGATGGCAGCTTTGTGAAAAGCAAAGTGCTATACAAGTCTGAGTGTTTGATAAGCTGCCCTGATGCTTTCTGAATGCTGTGTTTACGATGTCGACTAGAAGAGTAACCACCTGTAGAAACTTTTATGCTCATTGTTTGCTAATAAGGAAACCCCTCTGCGTGAGCAGGTAAAGCTTTCTCTGTGCACCTAGAGCAGTGATGGCGAACCTATGACATGCGTGTCAGAGGTGACATGCAAACTCATTTTTTTGGTTGATTTTTCTTTGTTAAATGGCATTTAAATATATAAAATAAATATCAAAAATATAAGTCTTTGTTTTACTATGGTTGCAAATATCAAAAAATTTCTATATGTGACACGGCACCAGAGTTAAGTTAGGGTTTTTCAAAATGCTGACACGCCGAGCTCAAAAGGTTCGTCATCACTGGCCTAGAGAGAAGGCAGCAAATTATTGTATTGTCTGTCACTCAGGAGCTTAGAACAGCTAGGACCTAGTTCCAGCTCTTCTTAGGAGACATGGTCACAATAAAAAATACTGCTTATGTGCCAGGCACTGTGCCAAGTGGTTCGTATAAATGGTGCAACTCTCACAAAAACTCAGTGAGTCTGGTGCAATTGTTTCATCACATGTAAAATGGGGGAAACAGCAGCATTTACCTCAAAGGGCTGTTGCAAGGATCACTAGACTATATGTAAAAGCTCTTGGCACAGTGTCTGACAAAAACTAAGTGCTAAATACACGTTTACCAGTGATTGGTGCTCTCATCTCACAGACAAACAGGCGCAGAGAAAAGTGAATGAAAGAAAGAGGATTTTAAGCCCAGGTCTGCCTCCCAACTTTCTTTTTCTTTCCTTGTTTTAACTACCTGCCCATAGTAAGTCCCCACTTAAAGCCAGGAGACGTGTTTTGACTTTGCCCTTGAATGTCCTCAGCCTGCGCCAATGCCTGGCTAAGCGAGCTGCTCAGTAAGTACTTGCTGAACCATGAAGGCTAGCTGTCCAGCCGGGGGTTCCGCTACCAGTGGTTCTCAACCTTCTGGCCCTTTAAATACAGTTCCTCATGTTGTGACCCAACCATAAAATTATGTTTGTTGCTACTACATGACTGTAATGTTGCTACTGTTATGAATCGTAAAGAAAATATATCTGATATGCAGGATGGTCTTAGGCGACCCCTGTGAAAGGGTCGTTCGACCGCCAAAGGGGTCTCGACCCACAGGTTGAGAACCGCTGCCACCTTTCTGGACTCCGTAGATCTTTGTGGTCTCTGTGCAGATGTCCCCGTCTGCAGGCCCGGAAGAGGCTGTTCTGGGAAACGACTCGTCTTCCCTCTCCCTCCCCAAAACACGTGTCTGAGGTCAAGGATCCCAGCCCTGGCCGGGTTGCTCAGATGGTCAGAGCATCTGTCCCCATATCCAAAGTTGTGGGTTGGATCCCTGGTCAGGGCACATACAAGGAGCAACCAATGAATGCATAAATAAGTGGAACAACGAACCAATGTTTCTCTCTCCCTTCCGTTCTTTCTCTCTCCCTCTTTCTAAAAATCAATAAATTAAAAAAAAAAATACTTCAAGCCCGGCCTCCGTGGCTCAGCAGTTGAGCCTCGACCTATGAACTAGAAAGGTTATGGTTCGTTTCCCAGTACCCCTGGGTTACGGCTTGATCTCTGACAATGCAGGAGGCAGCCCGTCAATGAGTCTCTCTCATCACTGATGTTTCTCCCTGCCCCCCTCTCCCCCTCCCCGCCTCCCTTCCACTCTGAAATCAATACCCCCTCCAAAAAAAGACTTCAAGGCTCCCAACCTATGCCCTGCACACTCTGCAATAGCCCTACACACCTCCGCCCCGACTCCACATTTCCGCTGCACCCACAGCCCCGCTGCACCCACAGCTCCCTCCCACCTCGCGCACTGTAGGCGCAGGCGCACTTCCCCGCGAACTACATCTCCCACAATCCCAATCGACCGGACCACCTTCCGCTCGAGGTGGGGGGGAGGTGGGCCAGGTCGCCCCGGGCCTCCTGAAATGTCCTGCCTGTGTCCTCGTGGGTAGAATTCGTTTTGAGAGAGATCCTGGGAGCCCGGGAAGGTAGGACACCTGTCCCGGTTGGGTACGACTCTGCCCGCCGCCTCTCAGGTCCCCTCAGGGTGAAGCGGCACATGGTCTGGTCCGGAGGGACCCCGGCTCGCGCGGAGACTCCGGGGACTGAAGGGCGGCGCGCGCGCGCATGCGCGGAGGCGCGGCGTGGGGGCGGGAGCCGCGCAGCCCCTTCCCCGCGTCGGTGAAGGTGAGTGGGGGCCCGGCGGGGCGTGTCCCGCGATGGGACTGACGCTCCCCCGCAGCGACCCCCGTTGGCACGACCACCACCTCCCAGCTACTCTGAAAGCCCTGGACCCCAGTTGTCCCGAAAGCTGGGGTTCCCAGGCGCTCCGGTTCGGCGTTCATACACCAAAATGCCTTAGAGTTAAGCCACTGCCGCCCTTGCACTGCCATTCCCGGCACCGGTCTCTCCTCCACGCGCCATCTGTGCTACGGAGCAGCTCACCTGTGGGGGGCTCCCCTTTCCCCGCCGGCAGCAGCTAGCTCCGTCCTGGCCAGCCCTGGAGATGGGAGGCCTGGTGCGCGATCTGTCCACCAGCTGTCACCCCGCTGCAGACTGCCCGCCCGCCCTCTGCTCCCGTGTGAGTCTTCTCTCTGTCCTTGACATGATGAGGCCGCCAAACGCCAGGAAACAACGGTGCTGATGGAGCTTATAACCAGCGGGATCCAGACAAACGTTTTCTTTCTTTCTTTAAATATATTTTGTTGATTTTTTACAGAGAGGAAGGGAGCGGGAGAGGGATAGAGAGTTAGAAACATCTATCAGCTGCCTCCTGCACCCCAACTGGGGATGTGCCCACCACCAAGGTACATGCCCTTGACCGGAATTGGACCTGAAACCCTTCAGTCCGCAGGCCCATGCTCTATCCACTGAGCCAAACCGGTTAGGGCAAGACAAACATTTTTTAAAAAATATATATTTGTATTGATTTTTAGAGAGGAAGGGAGAGGGAGAGATAGAAACATCAATGATGAGGTAATCAATGACGGGCTGCCCCTTTGGGGACTGAGCCCACAGTCCAGGCATGCGCCCTGACGGGAATCCGCCTGACCTCCTGGTCCATAGGTTAGTGTGCCCTAACCCTAACCATTGTGCTTATACTGTGCTTGGTTATGCGACTTGGCTATGCTGCTTAACCACCTGGGCTTACATTTTCTCTTAAAAATAGGAGACTGGGTTAGTTGACCTCTAAGAACTTGCCTGCTCTAAAATTCTGTGCTTAGTGAGTAGAATCCAGATTATATCACAATGTGTTAATGCTAGACATCATCAACTTCCATTTCTCTGCTACATTAGTGAAAAATAGCTAGAAGAATGTTGGCAGCCGCCTTCGTAAGAACTGCCCATAGCGTGCTTGTAATTTCTTCCTTGTTGCTGCACATATGAAATTAGCAGATAACCCAAATCTCTTCCCCTTTACTTGTCATTTTATAGACCGTTGCTAGGAAGAACTCTGGGCATGATAATCAACACCTTGTATGTGATGATGGCTCAACTCTTAAGATCTCGTCTGATAAACGCTGCGATGATTCGTAACCGAATGAACATGCTCCCATCTCTTGGAGTCGTTGGAAACAGAATGATGTCAACTCTTAAGTCACCAAAGAAGATGAGAGAATATTACAGGCGGCTGAATCTGGAAGAAGGATGCTCTGCAGACGATGTCAGGGAATCTTTTCGGAAGCTCGCCAAGCAATACCACCCAGACAGTGGCTCTCCTACGGCGGATTCTGCAACGTTCATAAAGATCGAAGAAGCGTACAGGAACGTGCTTTCCCACGTGATGCAGCAAACAAACGCCCGGCAGAAGAAAGTCGAAGACGCAGAGGATGAGGAAGAAAACTCCAAATATAAAACACCCCAACACAGGCATTACTTAAGTTTCGAAGGTATTGGTTTTGGAACTCCAAGTCAACGAGAGAAGCAATACAGGCAATTTAGAGCAGACCGGGCCGCTGAGCAAGTGATGGAATATCAAAAGCAGAAGCTGCATAGCCAGTACTTCCCTGAAAGCTTAACTGTCAAAGATGTGAGACAGACTAAACAACAAAAGATAACTCAAGCCATAGAGCGGTTAGTGGAGGATCTCATTCAGGAGTCGATGGCAAGGGGAGACTTTGATAACCTCAGTGGGAAAGGAAAACCTCTACAGAAGTTTTCTGGCTGTTCATATATTGATCCCATGACTCACAACCTGAACAGAATATTGATAGATAACGGATACCAACCCGAATGGATCCTAATGCAAAAGGAAATAAAGGGTACTATTGACCAACTCCGAGAGTCCATTGTAGTGTCCAGGAAAAAACTGGGGAATCCCATGACGCCCACTGAACAGAAACAGTGGAACCAAGTTTGTGAGCAGTTTCAAGAAGACATCAGAAAACTAAACAAGCGAGTGAACGATTTTAATTTGATTGTTCCCCTCCTCACCAGGCAAAAAGTCCATTTTGATGCCCAGAAAGAAATCGCGAAAGCCCAGGAAATATATGAGACCTTTATCAAATCCAAGGAAGTCACAGAGAAAAACCCAAACAACATTGATCAGGGTGAAGGGGAGAAAACACCTGGAGTCAAGACAGGGTTTTTCAACTGGACGAATATGTGGAAATTCATTAAAGCCTGACCATTTCAACGTTCACAGCCCCGCCCCAAATCCTTTTCAGTTGTACTGACATCAGACAGAGAGACTGGGAGGTATGGCTGTCACACAGGAGTTTGAGAACTGTATGCCGTACTTTTCACAAAACTGACCACAGCTCTGGTGATGTGTAAGGAGAAAGCCGGGAGAAACTGTCACAGAAATGTTCAGCCAGCTTTGCTCTGGGAAAATAGCAAGGAAAGAAGAGACGCTCTAAGAAAACAATTTAATCCATTGCCAAGTGTAATTGCCAGTCATCAGGTGAGATGCGTTAGGACAGGGACTTGGGCTGGGAATCATAAAGGGTATTCGGAATGTCGTGCAGATTTAAACTCTAATAACTTCAAACCAGTTGCCATTTGCCATCTTCAAACACAGGCACTTCAACAACAACAACAAACCAAAAACATCAAAAGTCATAAACCTAAACAAGAATGTAGGCAGCTGGGTTATCAAAGCTCAAAACTGTTGTAAGACTTTGGGACACTCTGTGGGCGGAAACGTTAAGATGAGGACATCAGCCTCTGGAGTCACTGCTTTTCTTTATAAAGGTCTTCTCTGTGGGCACTGAATTTTAAAAGTATATCTGGGTTGTACTTTTTCCTGACTAACTTCACGATCGATTGGCTGCAGAAATGGCCCGGCCACGCTGGTGACTTAGCTATTCTAGAAGTAGACCCCTGGGTCCACTGTCAGAGCTTTGAGTGCATGTTCTGGTCTCCAGGAGTGAAAAACCCTTGGGATCAATGGAAACGTAAGATTTCACTTCTGGCTTCATCTCTCCTCAGAGATTGAAATGATAGGTTTACATAAACGTACCTGAGGTCTGTCTCTGTCATGTATGGGACGCCCCAGAGCCTTTGTCAACCACGTGAAAACCTCCGTTTCCTGCCTTAGGGCTCGAATTTCCTGTCTTAGGAACCCTTCAGTGAACAAAGACAAGATGCCTGAATGTTGTACCTTTGGCAAATGACACGAGTTTGACCTTCGTGAGATGGTTGTGTCCCGTCCACTTTAAGAAAATCTGACTTTCTGAGGTGTCAGTGCTCTGGCCACAGAATTGGGCAACCAGAGGGGTCTGGGGTGTGGTCACAAGGAGCAGGTCATGTCCTCGCCTACACCAGAGCGCTGCGTTCTGGATGCGGTTCAGAGCGTGGCGCGGGCTGTCTCACGTGTGAACAACAGCTATTCTGTAAAACGTGATCATTAAAACTACATCTTCAAAAGGAAATTTCAGACCTTTTTGCTTAGAGATGGGGCATTGATTGCTATAGGATGTGATTATTTTGTTGATGAGTTGTTTGGCTTCTAGAATGATAGCATTACTCTAAACAAAATGGTGAACAGTACAACATACAGCTTTATAACATTTCCAGAACATTTAAAAGGCAATTCCGTTAGTCTTGCGAAAAAGGGAATTCAATGTGTGACACCCAATTGCATTGAAGGAACATATAGCAAGGACACCATTTTCAATATTGGATAATGGGAAGGTGAAATGATCAAAAAACTCTGGTAAATCCTTAATTTCAGCACAGCACACTTTATGTTTGTAAATGTTAATAAAGTTAATTTTAATGATTAGTCAATGGTCCACTGTTACATAAACAGCTAAAAATAATAACCACTAGGGCGGGGCAGACTAGAAGGGGTCAATGGGGGGAAAAGGGGGGACATATGGAACACTTTCAGCAATAAAGATTTTAAAAATAATAACAACCGTATTTTTGGCTGACCACCTAAATGCTTTTTTAAAAAAATCTTTTAGATGGACGATATAAAAACTGACTGTGACACAGATTATTCTTGTTAATTCTGGCCCGGTTGACGTGGCTCAGTGGTTGAGCATCAACCTATGAACTAGGAGGTCAGAGGTTCGATTCCCCGTCAGGACACATGCCCAGGTTATGGCTAGATCCGTGCGCAGGAGGCAGCCAACCAATGTTTCTCTCTCATCATTGATGTTTCCATCTCTCTCCCTGTCCCTTCCTCTCTGAAACCCTGACCCTAACCCAGTGAGCCCCAGGCAGTGTGATGCAGGGGAAGCGAAAGGGCGTGGAGCCAGGGAGACTTGCCTTTAGATCCGAGTTTCGCTGGTTCTGTGGACCTTCCTGAGCGCCCCTTTCCTCATCGGCAAATGAGTGCAATCAGGTCCAACCTGCAGGGTTGCTGTAACCCTTAGAGGGGAACGGGAGAGGCGGGGTGCTGGGTGGGGTCTTGTGGTTGTCAGCGGAGGCTACTGCCCTCTAGAGGACTTCTGGGAAATCTGGGGGCGGGGGCGCGGGGGGGGAGTCCTCAGCTGACATATGATTAGAGACGTAGAGCTTCTATTTAGCCCATTCCACCAGGACGCGGTGCTGGCTGGCCTCTATTCTGATTGGTGTTAAATATTTTAAAATCACCCCTGACCACAGGCACTTAGGAGGTGGGGCCAGGGAGGCAGGGGGCTCACAATGCACAGGGCAGCCGACCAAGAGGAGGGATTGCTCCATGTCCTGCCCAACATCAAACATCCCACCAGACATGCGTGTGGGTGAAAAGTGCGTTTATAGCCAGCTCAGCCTAGAACAGAATTACATTTACATATAAACACCGCATGCTTTTCGCATGATTTATATACACGAATCCCCCCTCCCCCACACAAATGCAACGGCTATGAGAATTGCCTTCGTTTTCTTGGGAATTTTACCAGGAATTGTACCCATCTTAGCAAGCATGACTCCCCGCCCCTGGCTGGTGGCGCTGGACCTGCAGTTTGCACTGGGATGTGGGATGCAATAGGCACCAGAGGAGCCTGGACAGCCGCTTTCATTTCGAACCAAATATTACTAAGCTGCTGGTGTCGTAGCCAGCGCCCAAGATGACCCCAAAGACCCCCCTCTTTGATATTCACCGTCTGTGTGGCACCCTCTCACAACATCTGAGAGTTGGTCTGTGTGACCAGTAGAGTAGAGCCAAAGTGAGGGCATGTTTCTCTGAGGCTAGAAGCTTCTCTCTCTCTCTCTCTCTCTCTCTCTCTCCCAGCCCCCCAACCCCATCACTCACCTTGGGCGGAGGAGCTGCCATGTCCGAGGCATCCGTGTGGACAGCATGTGTCCAGCACTGAGGCCTGCAGCCCACAGCCAGGGGGGGGGGAGCCGCAGGGGGAGCAGAGCCTCCAGGTGCCTGCAGCCCCAGCCGCCAGTTTAACCACAGACTCATGATGACCCTGCATCGGAATCACTGAGCTAAGCTGCTCGAAGACTCCTGACCTTAGAAACTGTGCAGCCCAGCTGGTGTGGCTCAGTGGTTGAGCGTCGACCTATGAACCAGGAGGTCACGGTTCCAGTCAGGGCACATGCTCAGGTTTCGGGCTCGATCCCCAGTAGGAGGTGTGCAGGAGGCAGCCAGTCAATGTTTCTCTCATCACTGTTTCTATCTCTCTCTTCTTCTCCTTTCCTCTTTGAAATCAATAAAAAAAGAAAAAGAAAAAAACCCTGCAAAATAATGAATAAATGGCTGCTGTATTAAGTTGCTAAATTTGGGGATGATTTGCTATATAGCAATAGATAACTAATGTAACGGACACACATGTCTCAACTTCATCAATAAACATTGTTTTAAACATATTTCATATGTGCTACTCTTCCAAGTGTAATGACAATCTATAGTGTAAACATTGCATGTTGGAGTGATTTCTTAATTTTTGGGTCACCTATTGTGCTTCTGTTATATGGTCCCCAAAGGCCCTCTACCTAACTGCTCTATGGCTTCCGGTACCAACTACTTCATGACTGCATCTTTTGCTGGCCCACCTGTAACCTGTATCCTGTTATCCACTGAAGAATTTGTCTCCATATAGGTCTTTAAAAAATATATATACTAGAGGCCCGGTGCACAAAAATTTGTGCACTCGGGGGGCGGGGGAGGGGGGGCCCCCAGCCCGGCCTGTGGCC